CTGGCAGGAACGCCTTCCAGTAAAAAAGATCAGAGAAATAACGTAAACCATTTAATTGCCATCTTGGAGCAAACCGCTGGTTGAACTAATCCCCATCCTCTCCCCGAAGCGGCGAGCAGCAGCCGCGGCTGTGCAGAGAAGCACAAGGCAATGCCCTGGACAGGCATGAATCATCCAGTCTAGAGGGAAGAGTGTTTCTAAACACTGCTGGGTTAATGACCACACTTAACATCGGTATCAAGAATAAATTGTGACCTCTGGAAATTGCTGCATCAGCCTCAGCAGCCGGAGGGCCGTACACTTCCTCAAGGCGGGGGGATCTGGGGAACAGGTATCGCATTAAAGTCTGCAGGTCTCTATTTTATGCAAAAAATCCCCCAGGTTTCACACTCCCCAACACAGCTTGGCCCGTGGGACCCCTCTGCTGTCGTGTCACAGCACTGCACCCTAAGCCCCTGCACCCAGCACCAACCCCAAAGCCAGTGAGGCAGGGAGACAAACCCTCAGCCTCCCAGCACAATTTAATCCACACGGCACAAAAATCAGCTTCAGCAAAGAATCAGTTCCCTGGAAAAACCTCATCCTTTCTAGGTATGTTGATGACATTGCTACAGAAATTACCTGGGACATTTGCAGTCTCAGAGAAGCCCCACACCAACCCTGCGAGGGGCTGTACCAGCTGCATCACTAACAACCCTCTGCATCACCCAAGCAAGCTGGCAGGACTGTGAAATAACCCATGTCCCACCATGTATTTCCATGTATTGAAATAAAGAAAATGAGTTCGGAGACTAGTTAGCAAAGACTGTGACATCTTTAACAAGAAGTATCAAAAAGTACCTAAAAAGGGCTTTACTTTCTGTATTGCTAGTAATTTCTGTTTGTTCTGGTACCAAGCACTACCCTCTGACCCGCCCCTCCATTCTTTAATACTTCATGCTGCACAAGATCCTGCTTTCTGAACTATTTCTGAAGATTTCCAAAGCACTGCACTTGTGGAAGATCTTCCAAGGCAAACCAGTCAATTAACAGGCCAAGTCCCAATAAAGTAGAATACTTTATTCAAATAAGATGTAAATTTTCTTAACCTTTTGACTTTTATGCAAAGAGATACATTTAAAATTAGCACATTCCACTTCAGCAGGACGCTGCGCTGTACGTGCATCAGTCCGTCAGTCTCCGGGGGCACGGAGAGCCGGCGGCGCGGGGCCCCATGAAGCTCAGATGGCTGCCATCCTTCAGTTATCACAGTACTGTACCTTTACAAGAGACAGCATCAGCACTGTGATAACTGAGCCAGGGCAGCCTGTCAGTCATTGCGGCCCCTCCGCAACACTGCCAAGCCCAGCAGGCACGTCCTCACCTCTCCGGGTCTCAAAAACCCCACGTCCCGCCCAACAGACACCCAGCTGTCAGGTGAAAGGGTGGGGAGCATTTAACCGAAGTGGCTTTACATCCAAGGTGTCAGTCCAGGAAATTAGTCAGATAATTAGTTCTATCTTAGCAACCACGCTGGCTTCTGCAATGCAGCTCAGTGTTTTTAAGCAGTAGCTTCTTCCGGCCGAATACAGCAATTCTGGATTTAATGGAGAAAGGGTAACTAACAACTCTACAGATATCACTAGAGAGAAGAAGGGCACCCCCATCTCCCTCTTAAATTCCCTGGAGCTAAACAGCAGCATTTGCTTTATGCTACTTCAGTATTGAATGTCATGAACCAGACAGTCAGTGGGTATAATGGCAGAGCGCCAGGCAAGTTAATGGAGCTACACGGCTTGTGACAGCTGAGGAGCGGGATCACGAACAGCACGAGTACGAGGGTAGCACCACACCGTGACCACGCTGCATACTGCACCGGGCCTGCCAGGCCTTCACCAGCGGAGCGGTGGAATTTTACAGCGCTGCGAACACATTCAGCCGGGTTTAATCGGAATTTGTCACATGCGCTCCTGGAGCCGGCGCCACAGATGCCCGTTCCTATGCCTACCGATGGCTTCGAGGGGAGCAGCGCCCAGCGCCGGGCAGCCAGCTGTACTTACAAGGGACAGCAGCCCGCGTGAGGAGAAGAGGGGCCTAAAGGCTTGGAGCGCTTCAAGCATGCAGCTGGCAGCTTTAGCTCAGAGGATCCAAATGCAAAATGGTGAAATAAACAATTCCACTGCAAGCTAGTTAAATTATCAGTTTACATCAACCTGTATTTTATACCCTCCCCCCCCCTTTTTCTTCCCTGAAAACAGCCAGTGCTGAAAAGATGGAACTATTTCTACACACACACACCCACCCTCCGGTTAAAGGAATCAAATACATCAAGTTCTGAACCAAGTTTTTAAAAAAAAAAAACACAACAGTTTTACATAGCAAAAGTTCATGTGTTAAGTCTTTTATAAAGAAGTTAATTTGTGACGTTGATGGACTTCACCAGTACAAGTTGCTCTCATGTTTCTACCAGGAGGAAGCAGAAACTCCGGAAGTATAACACTCTAAATAACTTACCTGGCAAAGAACACGTCCCAAGATGTTATGGAGACTGTTTTTAAAAGAGAAATACGTAACACCCCGCTGGATCCAGCTATCAAAATGGTGTCTTACAAGTTTTTAACTCAAGAGGGCAATAGAGAGAAAAATATGAAATATCTGAGGAGAAGCACGCAGTGGAAAAAAAATATTTGTACATTTTAAAACAAACTACAAACATACATTACATAAAAAGGGGACAGTCAACAGATTATGCAATACTGACGTAAGACGACACAGATGACTTAAGCATATATCCTAGAACTCACAGATCTAGCACCATTTGTAGATTAATCATTAAAGAATCCGCTGTTCATAGAAAAAAAACAACAAAAAACTTGGTAAAAAATATTAATAAATTCTGTACATACAATGGTGACTTCTGAAGAGGAAGGAAGCTGCCTAACCAATGAGCCATTTGCTCTCACCTGAAGGTGTTTTTACAACACCATTACTATTCCAGTAGAAAAATTCTACCGATTTCAGTAGAATAGCATGAAATACAGGATTCCCAATCCTACACTTTACAGGCTGAAGTGATGAGACTCGCTATTTTAAAGTTCAAGTATGCCTTGACCGCTGTTAAGATTTTATTCCATGCTCTAGCGGTTACTATTATGCTATTTAAAGGGAGAAGATACATGACAGCAAAGGTGAACAATTCCTCCCAAACACCCTCTGGCAGAAAGACTGTTTGAGTTACACGCATATTCTAAAGGCTGATGCCATTTTCTCTAGAGAGGATCTAGCTCTTACTCCAACAGAAATATGGTTTGTTTCCTTGCATTTAACACGCACGTGTTGATTTTTGGTTTGCTTCAGACTACAGACACACAAACCTGTCAACAAAAGCCTGAGTAGGTTCCCCGTTATTGTCTTAAGAATCCCCTTTTTAAGCAAAACCCACATTAGTTTTGGAGTCCAGCACACATTTTTGTTCTTGTTATTGCTAAGGCATTGCAGATTTCCATATGTTTTTGAAAAAACCCTCCAGTTTCCAGTGACTGCTGCCAGTTCTTGCTTTTGAAAGACCTGTAAGTTTGTCTGGCTGGTTTCTAAACTCCAGTTCCACCTCCTGCCCCTTCAGGGCTGGTGATTCTATGCTTTTTTTAAAAAAAACAAAACAAAACAAAAAACAAAACTTGTTTCATACGAACAAAAATTCCCTTAGCATCACACGGATGGAGTTACTGCTGTGCCCTGTCCACAACCCGCAAGGCTTGCAACTCCCCACCCATACGCACAGGTCAAATATCTTCGAGTCCTACAAGCCCCTCTCGCCCTGCCTCTGCAGGAGCTGGGGAGGCGCAGAGGTAGCAAACCTGATCTCCAGCTCGATTAAGATCGGTTTTAACCAAAATCCGTAGAATTCTGGAGAGAAAAAAAAGAAAACAAATAGCGAATTACAAGCACGCAGAGGCCTGAGGAGCGCTGACATGGCTTCTCTGAGGGGGGCAGAGGCTGTGCTTGAGGGTCCCTGTCAGGTCCCCGTGCCGCCACAGCTTCTCCCTCACAACTTTCCTTCGACGGCGCTTCCCGAGGCGCGTTACCCGTAACCAGGGGGCAGGCGGCAGCCGCGGCCACGCACCCGCGGGACGGGACGGGAAGCCACGGCCGGCAAACTGCTCCCACAGAGCCCTTTCTCCAGCCCCGCCGCCCGTCCTGCGGCCGGAGCGCTGGGAGCCGGCTGGGACAGGGCCCCGCTCGCGTAAACACCGCCGCCCGGAAAATAATAGTGCGCAACGCGGCGGGAGGGGAGGCGGGGGGGGGGGGGGGGGGAAGGAAAGCGGCGCGCCCCGTCTCCACAGACACCCCACCTCCCCCGCTCCCCGCGCAGCGCTGAGGGGGCGCGGAGCAGCGCGGAACGTCGCGGACCCACCTGCGGGCGCGGCGCTCGTGCGGGGAGCCGGGGGGGCGGCATGACGCAGCACGGGCTGGCGGCGTGAGGGCCGCCATCTTGGGGGTGTTTATGGCAGCGCCCGCGCGGCCATGTGACGGGGCGCTTCCGGGGGGGGCGGGGGGGAAGCGGGGGGGGGGGGGGGGGGGGCGGGGACGCGCGCGCAGGCGCGCGCGGCGTGGGGAGGCGGCACGCACGCGAGGCTTAGCCCCCCGACAGACACACGCGCTCCCCCACGCATCACGGCTGGTGCGCGGTGGGGGCACGCGCGAGCAGGGACGGCACTGGCGCGCGCGCGCCCCCGCGGGTCCACGGACACCCCCCCCCCCCACATCGTTGTCGTCGCACCCTGGAGGGGGGGTGGGGTGGGGTGGGGGTAGGGGCGTTCGGGGTTACGCGTGTGCACCCAGGGGCGAGCGAGCACACCCACGCGCGCCGCAGCGCTTATGGGGTGTGGAGGGTTGGGGGGCAGAGCAGCGCGAGGAGCGTGGGCGTGCGCGCGCTGTGGCGTGCGCGCCGTTTGACAACAGCCGGGAGCCGCGCGCGCGCGCCAACCGCGGCTGCACGGCGGGTCCCGCGCGTGCAAACCCGCGCCGCGCGCTGTGGGTTTGCACGCGGCTTCCCCGCCCCGTGCTGCCGGCCGCGGGCCCGCCGCTTGCAGGGTTTGCTGCCTTGGCGGGCCGCGCGGTTACGGGCTCACCCTGCGCGCCGGCCCAGCTCGCTGCCCACCCGTTTGCAGCCGCAGCACCCCCCCACCTCCAACCCCCGCCCTCCACGGCCGCCCTGGCTCTGTGCGGGCACCGCCGTGGCCGCTCGGGCTCACCCACGCAGCGCCGGCGTTGGTTGGTTGGTTGGTTGGTTGTGTTTTTTTTAACCACCAGCAGCCCCCGGGGCCGAGCAGTGCAGGGTAGGGTGGGGGGTCCCGTCGGGTCCCGGGCTCCGGGACTACAAGTCCCAGGGTGCCGCGGCCCGAGGGGGCGGGCGGGCGGCGCCGGCCGCCGGTGCTCCCCCCACCCTGCCCTGCTGATGTGTACGGGCCGCGGCGGCGGTTGGATGCGGGGGGGAACGGCTCGGTTCGGCGCGGCGGGGCGGAGGAGGGGGGGGGCGGTCGGGACCGTCTGACTCGTTGTCCTGCCCCGCAGGGACCCGGCCCGGGCTCCGGGCAGCCGGTCATGGCTTCCAAACTCCTGCGGGCGGTGGTGCTGGGACCCCCCGGTTCGGGTAAGGGGACGGTGTGCGAGAGGATCGCCCGTAGCTTCGGGCTCCAGCACCTTTCCAGCGGCCAATTCCTCCGGGAGAACCTCCGCGGCGGCGGCGGTGAGTGCCCGGGGGCCGCCCCGTCGTGGGGTGGGGGGGACCCCAGCCCCGCGCATTCCCAATGGGGCGGCGATGGGCATAAGCTATGGATGAGGATGGGATCGGGAACTCCCTCGGGTGGGTTGTTTTCTTTCCGTGGGCTTGGCACGCAGCTCCTTCATCGCCTTCTCCCTCCAGCCTGAGCTCACGGAGCTGCCCGATAAAAGTGGGGGGTGATGCCGTGGGGTGCCTACGGGTTCCATCCCTGCGCCGGGTGGGTACAGCTCCGGAGAAACCGGTTAGAAAAACGCTCCTGCTCGCCCACCGACGGTTAACGGCGGCATCCGGGGACGCGGGTCGCACGTTATGAATAACTTCGTCCTGCCTCAGGTGGCTGTGCGGGAACGGGGGTAAAAAAAACTGCGAAACGGCAGATGGCTGAAATGCTGGTGCGCGCTGTGCCCGTGTGACACCCACGGTGGGAGGGACGGATTGGGAACATTCGTCCACGGGGGAAACCCCACTGGGAAAAATGCTGGGAGTCACGGGGTGCTGTGATGTGCCGTGGTGTGTTACGGGGTGCCAGTGCGTGTCCCCGACTCCTTATAATACTCCCTGCTGGGAAGCGAGGAGGAGGAGAAGGTGGGTGGCAGCACCCACCCGCACAGCTCACCCCACACACCCCCAAGACCCAGCTTTTTCAGGCTTGCAGCAGGGAGCACAGTGTGTGACACCCATATCCAAAGCCCTGGGGAATAACCGATGGTCTTTGCCGTGTTTGCACCCCGGGCAGCGCTGTCGGGTGGGGAGATGCACCTCGGGAGCTGGGGTGCTGCACGCCAACTTATTCTCAGGTTGCTCTGCAGCTGGCATTAGGCAATCCCAGCGTATTTCTTTTTCCAACAGTTCCTTCTCTCCTCTGCTAATGTGTGTAAGACCGACCCGGAGGGGAAGCTGACTCACTGGGCAGAGGAACGGTAAAACGGCATTGATACAAAACAAGCCGAGAGAACTAGAAGTGATTTCCCTTTTTAGTAGGGTAACAGCAGGAGGAAAAAAAAAAGGGAGTGTAAAGTTTTGGAGAGCTACGTGCTCCAGCAAAGGCATTGCGTGCAGCCCTGTCACTCATTTAAAAATATCCAGATTTCCTTTTATAAATAAAAAGGACAATAATATTTCCTATGGAAGAAAATTAGGAAAATCCTGATGAGTGCTTTGGCTGAAGGACAAAAGGCCTGGGTGAAAAGCAAGCAGAGGTGCAGCGTGAGGGACCAGGGCAGTGTGGTATGAGCCCGTGCCTACCCGGGAACTTGCACGATCAAGCTCTAAATGAGAGTCTTTCCTGAATTTTCTATTTCAGTTCATACTCTTGCTGTAGAGCTTCTCTGGGGACACTGGAAAAGGGAGAAGGGGCTGTGAATGGAGTTAGCTGAAGGCGTTTCCCAAAGAAAACAACACAGAAATGCGGGTAAAATTACTCAGAAGTAAATCAGCCTTAGTTTGGTACAGCTGGCGTGACGTTCAGGTCCCACCTTTGACTCAGCTTCTGGTTACAGCTCTCAGTAAGCTGAAGCTATTTGCTATTTTTCTTCTGCTATTTGTTTTGGACAAGCTGTTACATGACCGTGCTGCGGTGTGCCAGCTCTGGGGGAAACTAGGTGGAAGTAGACTCTCCTCCAAGTTTATCATCTGCGCCACTAGCTTTGCATTTTAGGGCAGCTGGGGCCCTTAGATACAGACAAAATCATTACAGAATCGTCATCCTGAAGGGACCCGTCAATCTGGTGGTTTTTAGAGTAATCTCAGTCTGAGGACGGCAAGTTAGGCATCGATACACAGGATTTTCCTGCTTGCCATTGCAAGATGTGAAGTAGCCAGGGCTCAGGCTCAGGTGGCACAGAGGACTCCCAGGGAACTAGGACCTCACTTTGCAGCCGAGCGAAGCATCGTGTTGGCAGCATCCTGGGGTCTTAGCAGGACTCAGCAGTTAATTTGCAATACAACTTAATTTCTCCTCCAAGTGATAGTGGCTGAGGGGTCTGCATCCCCTGAGAGATGGGTCTTGTGTCTGTCCCATCGCTCCCTTTAATGTGCTTCACTGGAGGCAGAAGTGGCTCCTGATCCTTCCTCGTGACAAATTTAATTTGTTAACATTGACCAAAGTAAGCACAAAAAGGCGACTAAGGGGGTTTTGTGCTGAGCCCCATGTTCTGTCTCCCCACCTTTCTTCTGGGTGATGGTCTTCGCTGTCAGAGCCACGCATGGGCCCAGGAGATGCAACTGGTCACCCCTCTGGTGTTCCACAGGGTCAGTGCTGTATCTTTACGTGCAGGAGCAGCAGCGATAGGACCGTGGCTGTTTTCCCCAGTGCTGGTTGCCACCCCATCAACAACACCCCGCTATCCACCCAGCAAGCAGGTCACGGCCCGAATTTGGGGCCGCACCAGGCTCCGGCTCCCCAAAGTGATGTCCTGCCTGCAGAGACGGGGTGGGAGCGAGAGTCCCGGATGCAGCGTCTGCATCGGGAAGGAGGTCCCAGGGTCCCAAAACTGGGGTGACATCTGGCCCCGGCTGACTGGGGTTGTTGCAGCTAAACTGCTGATGCACAGGCGGCTGTGGTCGGTGCCTTATTAACCACCCGCTTTTCCTCCTCTCCACCAGCTCCAGATTGTATTCCTGTAGCCTAAATAAAAAAAAAAAAAAAAATCATGTAAAAGGTTGCGCCGTAGGGGAGAAAGTTATCTGGCAGGTTCTGGAGTCAGCCTTTCCTCCAGCCTGTCCTGCCTGCTCCTGGGTGGCTGTTTTGTTGCTCGTGGCCTCGGGGATAGGAGATATCCCTCAGGGTTGTAACTCGGTGTTGCTTTGATAAGGAGGGATGGTGGCAGATCAGGGTCGCGTGGGGAAAGCCACAGAGAGCCTGAAATCCCGTGCTGCGTGGATTAAACTCACGGTTGTTAGATTAATGGGATTAAGGCCGTGAGTCAAGAGACCATTTTGCACGGAGCTCAGCAGTGCCGGGAGCACCCACTGCCGGCCCAGCTCAGGCAGCACGAGTATCACCTAAGGAGCCCCTTGCTACCTGGAGTAACTGCAGAGCAATGCTTGCAACCCCTCTCCACGCCTGGCTGTAGCAATGGAGATTTGGGTTCTTGCATAGAGGCTGTGCAGTGCGATAGATGTGAGCCCCAGCTCCTCACATGGGGGGACTGGGATCTTCCACCCAGCTCGGGAAGGACTGCCCAAACTCTGCTCCCCTTCGGCTTGCAGCTGGGGAATGCTGTTGCGTGGAACCCAGGTCAGGCTTCGGGGCTGGGAAAAGGATGGTGAATGTAAAAATAGGAGATAAAAGCTGCCTTGAAGAAACCCAGCGGGAGCAGGGTTGTGCTGCAGGGTTGATGCTCTCCGGAGCATCCCTGGTGTTGGGGGTCCGAGCACCGAGCAGCTCTGCAGGTCCTTCATGCAAAATACATGCCCGTTCTTCCTCGGCGAGAGGAGGAGTGCGGTGCTACGTGTGCTTTGGAGGAGGGAGAGGATCCAGTAGCTGTCTGGAAGCAGTCACCACCCTGTACTGGTGCGTGGACCCCCATGGTGGTGCATTGCCCCCGTGCTGGTGTCTTCCTATGTGCACCCCATGCCGGTGCATGCCCCCCGCACTGCTGTGTCTCCCAGGAAGCACGAAGGAGCAGCATCCCCAGCAGCAAGAGTCATCCATCGCGGAGCAGTGGAGAGCCGTCCACCTGTACAGGGGGCATGAGAAAACCTCAGCCACCTGTGATGCCGAGCTGCAGGCCTCCCCTCCATTTCCAGACTTCCCAACCGTGGCTGGGTGTATTTCTTTGGGGTCGTGGCACCAGGTTTTGACTCTGGCAGCCCCGCTGAGCAGCAGCCAGTCCCTTGGATGCCCAACCCTCCTCGGGGCGGCAGCGGGACCTTCTGCTGCGGCTTCAGCCTCCACAGCTGCCAGGCTCTGCCCTGGAAGCAGCGTTCCCTGCAAGCCCGTGGCAATGTGCAGACCATGTGAATAAATATGAAAAAATGTAGGTGGATGCGATAATATTTATGTCCTAGCAGGTCTCCGTGCTGGTTGCATAAGACATCATGTATTCTTTTCATCCCCGTGTCCTCTGCTTTCCCAAGCAGGAGCGCTGCCAGCAGCGCTGGTGACGTACAGGCAGCAACAACAAATTTGTCATTGAAAAAAGGTATTTTCTGCTCTGGGTGCCTGGCAGCCACTGGCGGCTCCGAGCAAAGAGCGGCTCAGCAGGGCGAGCTGAAATGTCTTTATGGAGCAGAGGAAGGGGGACACGGTTTCCATCCCTGCGGTGACTCAGCCCTGCAGGCCGGTGAGTCAGCACCTGCTGCCTCCCTGTTTCAGAGGCAGGTTTCCAACTGGGGAGTGTGGCTGGGTTGGCAGCCCCGACCTGTCCCACTTTCCTGCCAGGCATCCTCTGCAGATCGTTTCGGGAGCCTGCGAGGTTTCCTGTGCATGCCCTGGCCTCGTGCTCCCGGGGGGATCCGGACAGGCTGCGCCAGGTTCCCCCATTAGATCAGATGAAATCTCTCCAGGAACTGTATATCTTGCAAAAAAAAAAAAAAAAAACCAAAACAAAACAACCCTCCTGCAGTTCAGGAGTTCAGCCCGTGGCCAGGTGCACATGTCTGCCCGCTTTGACATCTTGCTGCACGCTGGGAAATGGGAGCCTGCCTCCAAATGCAGGATCCTGTGGCTTTTTTTAGAGAGGACTTGTACTTTGGGAGGGCTAAAATGTGCTGTCCTCATCATAAATCTTGCAAAAATTGATGGCAAATTTCTTCATTTCTGGTGACAAATGCTATTTCAGCTGCTGTGGGAAGTGAGTGGAAGAGGTCGGGTCCAAGGAGAAAGGGCCGGACTTCTTCTGGTGGCAGGATCAGCACTCGTCACGCACGATGGCAAAGAATATTTACATTTTCCAAACCATTTCTTTGTGTCTCCAAGCAGCTAAAGGCAAATCGCAGGCAAACTGTAATGTAAGAAGCAACTGAATCGATTGCATCTCTCCTTGAAGTAACATCTGCTTTAGCCCACCTGCAATAAAAATATAAGCAGAATAAATCCTACTTACTTTGGCTGCTGGCAGCAGCTGCCGGGGTGATGCCAGGCTGGATCCAGACACGGGGTTACCTGTGCAGAAACCACCGCTGGCTTCTCCTCCAGCGCTGTTGGCTCCAGCTGAGCGATGCCAGGCAGGAGCCTGGTGAGGAATATTTACCTTGCAGTTACACCGCAATTATGTTCTCAAGGAGTTGATCTTGGAAATAATTTTCTTATCTGAGCGTATCTCAAGTTGAGGCTCTGAAGTCTTTGGATGGGAAGCCGTCTTCTGATCTCAGCAGCGATTTAACAAACGCTTTGAGGGTTGGGTTTCACGTGCACTCGCTGGCGGTGCCTGTTTACTGCCACGTTTCACACGTGAAATTGCGAATTTTCACCTCTTCAAGTCATTCATAAATGATGACACCAGCTTTTTCTGATGATGGTTGTACATGAAAACTTTGTACCTATGAGCCAAATGCTGCCAGGTCTGCAAGCATTGCTCAAATGCATCATTGGTCCTCGTGCCTTTACTAGAAACTTCTCCTCTGAGGCACCTCCTGTGTTCCTGCTCTCGGGTATTTCAGGCATTTCCATTTCCTCAGCACCAAAAGGGCCGTGTGGCCCCTGGTTATCAGGAGCAGCAGCCATGAGCAGAGGATGCTGCTGAAAAGCTCCTGGATGAGCGATTTGGGAGGAGGACAGGCAGAATTTGAGGGGGAGAGATATGTTTTTAAGCGGAAATGTCACGCTGCTTTTTTTTCTTTTGTTTTTGCCATCTTTTTGGTTTTTTTTTTTTGCTCTTGAACAGAAGTTGGCGTCTTGGCAAAGCAGTACCTCGAGCGAGGCCTTCTGGTGCCGGACCACGTCATCACACGCGTGATGATGACGGAGCTGGAGAAGCGGCGAGAGCAGCACTGGCTGCTCGACGGTGAGTGCACTGCCGGCGTCCTCCCCTGGGTCAGGGAAAATCCCAACCCCCTTTAAAACGTTATTTTGCTGCTAATGGTTTGGCAGCACCAGGAGAGAGAGGAAAAAAAACAGAAGGTACGTTTGCTGGTTGTGGGAGGAGAGGCAGGAGCTGACCTGCCAGCAGAGACGTCTGCCTGCGGGTGTTTCTTCCCTCTGCCCTAAGCAGCAGCACGTGCGTGTCCAGCTGAGCCCTTGGCACGCGTCCGGGAGCGAGAAAGGCAGGGAATGGAGATGGATGTTTTGTAAAGCCAGCCAGTGGAGCAAAGCCAAGAAAAACCTCTTGCCGCCTCCGTATGTGCGCAAAGGGGGCGTTCACCCCAAGCCCGAAAGCCACCTGAGGTGCGGGTGGAGAAGATGCTGAGAGCGAACCGGCGAGGCGGGCGGCCAGAGGAGCGGCGGAGGGTTCGCCAGGAGCTCCTGCAGCCCTCGGCGGTGAAGCTGCGAGCCAGCAGCCCTGCTGCATCGCTGCCGGAGGCCTGCGAGCTGGCAAGTGCCGCTGGCAGCTCGAAAAACGGCTTCGAGGCTTGGTTTGGGGATGGGGGAGGACCCGGTGGGTCATACTGACCGGCGGTGTTGTGCGCTGGTGAGTGTGACATGCAGGGACGAGCGGCCATGGCTGTTGTAGGGGGAAGAACCCTCCCTTGGCTGTCTGCTGAAAGAGTCAGTGAACACAGAGATAACTCTGAGCCAGTTGATTTATAACAGACTTGGGCTTTTGGAGACCTCTCAGGCTCCTGATAGGGAAAATACAAAATAATTTGCAACTGGAATAAGTCTGCGGTGTAGTGCCGGGGGCTGGAGGGTGGTAGAGCCGGGCTGCTTCCCCGCATGGCCCTGGGCAGCCCCAGAGGAGGGGTGCTGGGTGCTGGGGGGTCCAGATGAGCTTTTCTCACCCCAGTAGGCACTGGGGATCCGGCAGCATTGTCCCCTGGGCTCGCAGGGCGGGCATCAGCAACCCCAGGCCCTGTAGGTTCAGTCTGCCTTGATGCCCGTGAGCCCTCACTATTAAAATTTCATTATTCTTACAACGATGCCACTTAATTCATCAGGGAACGTGGCGATTAACAAATATTACAGCAACAAGCGTTGCAGAGACAAGTACATATTTCGTTGTATTAAGCCTCTGGGGTTTCAGCACATCGATGGGGGGTTTGCATTGACACGCTCGGATGCAGGTTCTTGCAGCTCAGCATGCTGATTTATCACGGTTTCGACCCCCGGCAGCCTGGCCCGGGGACCGGCTCCCGTTTTGTCACGGCTTTGCATCCAAGGGTGGAACAATTCCAGCCGTGGGCTGGTAACGAGGATTTCGGGAGCCACCCGCTTTGTGTGCTGACCTCCGCTTATACCAAGACGTTTGAGGGACGGGCTGCCCCCCAAAATAAAATCCGAACGCAGCAGCGGCGATGCTGGCAGCCCTGCGCTGTCACGTCCCTCCTCCTAATTTTGGGGGGAATTCATCTGCCCGGGGGGTGCGAGTGGTGTCTACAGCCAGAATCCTGCTCCAGCTGTACTGTCACAAGGAGCGTATTTATCTCAAGTGGTCCGTTTGATAACAGAAATAACAGACCGACTTTATGTATTCTTTCTCATAATGGCCAATTCATTCCCTGTGCCGATGTCCTGACAAGCTCTTGGCTAATAATACTCTGCTTGGGAAAAGCCTGAGAGCTCTCAGAGGGTTTTATGGATGTTAAAAAAGGTTAAAAAAAAATTTTAAAATAGGCTTGTTAGGAGAGAAAATTAGAGAGGGAACCGGCTCAGAATCACCCCTGGTTGTGGTCTGGCGGCAAGAATGGATGTTCCCACTGGCTCACTGGTTTTTCTGAACAAAAGGTACTGCCCAGTGCCTTCGGAGGATGGGGTTTCAGAGGTGGGCGATGGCTGTACAAACCGTTTTACCGCAGTATCCCTGACGTCCTCCGTGTAAACCAGCAGTGTGTTACTCATTAGTGCATGGCATTTTGTTTCCTTCAGGTTTTTCTTTGTCCCCATTTATCCCCATTTATCCCCATTTTGTTGTTGCCTGTGCCCTCTTACTCACCTCCAGCCCTGCACCAGACACGACTTTGCAAGAAAACTTGAGCCCACGGCAACCTGTGTGTTGTATTTTGGGAGTCGGTGCTGTAGGAGCTTTTTTTATTGTTGCCATATGGTGGACTCCTGTCTTTCGCACCGCTTGCGCTATAGCGAGGAGCCGTGGTGGTTTCGCAGCTCCGGGGCTGTGGGGTGGGTGGTTTGGACTCCGTCTCTGCTGCTTTTCTGCCTCTCATGACAGCCCCTTTCTGTTGTGGTGCCTGGGCAGGTTTCCCCCGGACGCTGGGGCAAGCCGAGGCGCTGGACAGGATCTGCGAGCTGGACCTGGTGATCAGCTTGAACATACCCTTTGAGACGCTGAAGGATCGCCTGAGCGCCCGCTGGGTCCACCCTGGCAGCGGGAGGGTGTACAACATGGACTTCAACCCCCCCCAAACCCAGGTGAGAGCCCGTAGCGTGGCGGTGGCGGCGGCTGGGAGCAATTCACAGGAGGAAAAGATGAGAGGAGCCTTTCTCTGCGTGAGCTGAGATCATAAAAAAAGCACCGGGGGAAGCAATCCCTGGTAGTAAACACTGAGCACCAGTGGGCTTTGCCTTCAGGAGCTGGCCTGAAAGAGGTCATGTTCATCAGGAAAACGGAGTTTATGTTAAATGCCGTCCAAGTGGAGGCAGGGAGGTGCAGCGTGGGCGATGGGGCCGGCGGCTGCAGCCCCGCGGTGTGTTTGCCTTCCCGCAGGGCATCGACGACCTGACGGGCGAGCCGCTGGTCCAGCGCGAGGACGACAAACCCGAGGCCGTTGCTGCCAGGCTCAGAAAATACAAAGATGCCGCGAAGCCAGTAATAGAGTTGTACAAGTGAGTTGGACCATGCGAATAAAATCGCGGCGTGCCCGTGAAAACAGATTTTCGGAAGGGGTTTTTGGGCTGTGGCAAGAGGCGCTTGCAAATCCCTTCTATTCCCCACCTCTGCTGCGTGGGGTGGGAAGCCTTTTTACTTAGTAGTGTTGCCCATCAGTGCTATGAAATCCAACGAGGTAAGAGTTTTAGCTTCCTTTTGGGTGAGTATCCTCCAGCACAAGAGATGGAGAAGCTCTGAGATGCCTCAGCCCCTGTCCTGCCCACGCAGAGGGTCTGCAGGCCGGTGATTTTGCAGAGAGCACCCGCGAGCTTCTTCCTACCTTGCTTCAAACTAAACCCATGCACCCTGTGCTGTGCAGATCCAGGGTGGTACGTGTTGTGCAATCACCCTGGAAAAAAAAAAAATTAAAAAAAAAAAAAAAGAGATCAAGCCAGGGCCTCGAGGCATTTAGGCAAAATACAGGGTGATTGGCAAGAGGGCAGGAGAAGGGCGAGACCCCAGGGCTGGCTCGGATGGGTCTGCTCTCAGCACAGAGATGTTTCAGGGCTCGTCCCTTCTGCGCTGCTGGTAGTTTGGGGCAGTCGTCCCCCGGCCGAGCTGGGAATGGATGGATTGCTGTGGGGTGGCAATCCCCTGCTGAAAGGGAGCGAGCGCCTGGGAGTGTTGTTAAAAGCAGAAGTAGACCGTGGGGGGGCCAAAAGTGACCTTGCAGGGAAGGGGGAGAGGATTGCGGCCCTGAATTTCCCACCACTCGCTTAAGCACATGAATAAATCCTGCTGGTTTACATTTGTAGAGTGCTTTAGAGAGCAAGTGGTCTTTAGGGGGATGAGGGTGAGCTGTCGTCGTCCTGGGTAATGTGATTATTTGTGGTTATCTGGGTTTGGGTCATCCATGTGCGAGTGCAGCTGGGCTCCTCCGAGCAAACGCTGCGGACGGGAGCATCCGCCGCTCGTCCCCGTTATCCCCCTCCTCTCACCCAAAAAGCCATCAGTGAGCTTCCAGCCTGGTCAGGCTGTCCCCAGCCGTCCTCACGTGCTGACTTCTCCTCCCATCTCTCTTCCAGGAGCAGAGGCATCCTCCACTCCTTCTCGGGGACGGAGACCAACAAGATCTGGCCGTACGTGTACACCCTGCTTTCCAGCAAGATCCCACCCGTCCTCTCGGACGAGGAGAACTAAACAGCTTGTGCCAAGGACCAAGGGTTAATTTGATCACGGATTCGGTTTCTCTGCGCGGTGCTGGGGCTGTGCTCAGATTAGGTGATCATCTGGTATCTAAAGTCCCTTCCCCGGGTGTACTGGGTGGCATCGGTGGATACACAGTTATAGCCAGTAGCAGGGCCAAATGATCTTTGCTTATAAGGTCAAGTCTGCTAGAATAAGGTGGGTTTTTTTCTCTTTTGAGGCTATAAAGTATTCCTGCCTACAGTCCAAGTACACACACAGATCAGTGATGCAAACCTGGGTAATGATCCTACAAGGTTTACCCAGCTTGCCATGATGTCCTTGCCACCCCCATGCGAACCCCAGTCTCTATTTGAGCCTACAGTGTGCCATCCCGCTGCTCCACAGTACCGTTTACTGCAGATTCCTCTCTAGGTTAGGTTGTTTTTTTTCTATAAATTATTTTCTATTAAAATTTACCTCTCAGAGAAATAAAGCTCTAAAAAGTAAGACTTAGCCCAGCGGGAACTGGTGAGCAGCATGGAAAAAGTGTACACTACGGAGCTCAGAAATGTGAAGGTCACATTTCCAGCTTTAATGCACGTAAGAGAGGGAAAACATTGGAGGTAAAACATGCACTTGAGCTCATTCCATAGAGAGGAAATCCCTCTTCTGAAAATCTGCTGTACAGTCTTAGTTTTCATGAGATGCTGTGACACCGAGCAGGATCTGTGCTGGGGATGAGTTGCACTCCTTTGTGCTTACCTTGTTTATAGCTTTTAATACTACAAGATACAGTCACGTCCTAAGAGTTTCTCCCAAAGATTTATTTTAATGTGTGCTTCAGTTTTGGGGAGAAATCAAGTCATTCCATCTTCTGTGCTGCCTTTGTCCCAGAGCTCCCCTGGAGATGGGGTGGTCCCTAAGTGGTTCCCGCTGCAGCATCCCCGGCAGAAGCGGCTCCTTCCCCGTGAAGCCCCGGTGGGATGAGAGCCTTCCCTTCCTCGGGATGCACGCAGGGGCTGCCGAGGGCCGTGTCCAGGCATATCCCTGAGAGCATCGTCGGAGCGTGTCGCTCCTCTTCTCGTGGGCTTTGCGGCTGGGCGGAGAGGCTTTTCTCAACTGGAAGTACTGTAACCCTCAGTGGTGGTAGGATGCAGTACCTAAGCAATGGGGACATTCTTTTGTCTCCTTGAGTTGCCTTATTTTGTAGACTATATATTTAAGAAAAAAGCAAGATGTGTATTTTTAAACGTTTAAAAAAAAAATGCTGAATTTTAGCATCCACTTTGGGGAATTCTGCACGAAGCTGCTTGGGTTCGCAGAGCATGCTGCAGTCTGCCATGGGTGGCTCAGCAGGAGGGCAGGAAAGCTGTCACTCCCCACCACCCGTTTGATTAATTAGAGCAGCCTGAGCAAGTTTCTGTTGCTGAAATGTCACTGGTTTTATTTTTGCTTGGAGAGTGGCCCTGCGGCAGGGGAGGGGGAGCTGACTGGCTTTTTTTAGGGATGCAGGAGCTCTGCGTGTGAAAATCCAGCACATCCCTGGGAGTCTTTTATCCCCGCTGAGCCACCCGCATCCTCACGCTATCAGAGGAGCCCCTGATGATTTTTTCTCTCCGTCGGAGGTATTTTTGCCCTGGCTCTCTCCTGATAACGGAGCGAGAAGCCGTCAGGCATCTGCCGGGCGAGATTGCGCTGCCTGCAGGTGAAAGTGCTGATGGTGGCAGGGGAGGGCTCCGCATCCCCCTCAGGATGGGAATTTCCCGGGTGGGAAGGGAGGGACTGTCAGGTTTCACTGTTGTCCCTGGGGGCCTTTCAATCCCCCCCACAGCTCCCAGGCTGGGAGGACGCAAATCTTCCACCCTGCGCTGAAATCCTATTTGAGAAAGATTTTGGCTTTTCCCATGACCCTCGGACGAAGGTCTGGGCCGTTTTTAAACACAAATCTAGAAATAGCCGGAATGCACGTGCTGTTTTCTTTCTAACAGTGTTGAGCAGGAGGGGAAGAGATGACATGGGGGGGGTTTTTTGAGGCCGTAAAAACAGCCTGGCCGCGGCAGGCGGCTCTGCCGGGGCCGAGTGCTGGGCAGGGGGGCTGCTCCCTGCTTTGCCTTGCCTGGCTCTTGCGTCTCATCCTTCCCTGCTTCAAAATGCCTCCGGCGGAGAGGCTCACCCCACGCAGCGCCCAGCGGCAGGACAGGGCTTGCAGATGGCTTTGCCCCAGGAGAGCCGCCCGAGCGCTTGTTTTAAAAGGCTTTGAGCCCTCTAGTAGATGTAGAAATCCCGTGACTGTGCACGCGTCGAGCCTTTGGGATAGATTTTTCTACAAGAGTTACCCTACGGTGCGTTTTCATAGACCAAATTACCAGCAGGGATGAGGTCCTGGAGTGACACGTGTCCCTCACCTTTCCTTCCCGCCACGCTCCCCTTTGGTACTTTACTGTGAATCTCACGCTTTTTTCTGAAGCGACAGCAATTTTGTACCGACCCAAGATACTGTGTGGTGGGAGGAGGGTCTCCCCGCGTGCGGGGCACCGCCGGCACATCACGCCGAGTTTTCTTCCTGGAGTTTCTTCCCGGTGAATCGCTGCAGCTGTGTTACTGCTCGGAAGATGTAAATAAATTTTTTTCTCCTGCTTATCTCTGTGCTGGCAGCGTCTGCGTGTGAGTTACACCCGATCTCCGCTGAAAGCCGGGCTCTGGGCGAGCCTCTGCCCTGCGTCGAGGCTGCGGGACGTGCCTGCAGGTAGCAGGTCATTTTTGACCTGGAGTTTCTTTGTAGGAACCGAGGAGGAGGAGGAAGAGGAGGGGGGAAGAAGAGGAATCAGAGCATCCCCATTTGAACGCCGGACAAAATCCCTCAGTAAAGAGTGTCCCCCAGGTTTTGGGCTTGAGCACAATAGTTTGGGTCCTGTTTTACAACCAACTCCTTTATTTGATATAATCCAAAATACCTGTTAAAAAGCCAGTTCTGACAGTGCAGGTGAAACCGGTTGCTCCTGTCCTCCCATCCTTGTTGCACGTAAAGTGGTTTTTATTTTCCTATTTCACTTTCCCCAATAAAAGTAATGCAGAGCATTAGGCACAGCAAGGCTCTGGCAATTGCCTGTGCCCCCTGTAATCCATCACGTGTATTTTGGTAGAAGGGATTAAAAGCCATAAAGTGAAGTACTTCCACCCATCACTACTGGCTTGCAGATCCAATTGTTTTTTGCTTTTTTATTTAATTCCCAAAGAGCAGCTCAGGGCTCTCAGTCCCCTGTTTGGAGTAAGCAGAGACTCAGAAATGATTAGGAGAAATAAAAAAAAAAAAGTGAAACCACTGCCTAGGGGGTGAGAAAACAGAGGCATGGCCGAGGGTTGGCCTCAGCATCCCTGGGTGGAGGAGACGAACCTGGCGAGAGGGGTCTGGGGGATGCTGGGGTTCAGGGTCATGGTGATCTGGAGGCAGAGAAGGGATGTCTCGCCTCCGCGCAGCTCCGTCTAAGGGTGCAAGGGTGGATAAAAACACAGAGGGAGAAGAGCTACGTAAGCTGGAAAATTAATTCGGTCTAAAACCTAAAGTTTGGAGGTCAAAAAGCAGAGGAATATGTGAGGAGTGCCGAAATCAAGCTGAGACCAAAGCCTTGGCTTTCCCCGAGTGCCATCAGGGGAGCTGGGGTGGCACAAGGGTGGGTGTCCCCGTCCCTGCAGCCGGACCCACAGCATACGGGGGGTGTCTCTGGTCCCCCCAACCCGGGGGACACAAACAAACTGCCCCGACACCCGCAAGGTGGCGTGTCCCTTCGAAATATTTCTTCGAATTCCATGACAACACCGAAAGCAAGACCGTTCCCACCTTTCTCTTTTTATATATATTGTGCAGTAGCCATCCCTTCACGTAAGGTTTGTAGTAAATTATTTGCCTCCTGCACTTCACGCTGCTCATTTACAGCACAGTTATTTCAACCTGTCCTTTTGCGTATCTGCCCCGGGGGACCTGCGCCTTCAACTCCTCTGTCGTTTCCCCATCAGCAATTCCTCTGCTCTGCTTCCCCTGGGCCTTGTGCCGAGAAATCAAAGCTTCAGGGATGCTCCGGTACGGTGGGGATGGGGGATACCCAAGGGAGATAGATAACTGGAATTACCGATGACTGCTTGGTAAGAAATGCCACCGATAGCCTGTGACCCCCCTCGCATCTGTAGTTATGCTGTGATAAAGATCTGGGGGCAAGTAATCGCGTGTTTATAGCATTGGCAAGTGCTAGCCTTCCTGGGCAGCCGGGGAAGTGCCTCGACCAGCACGCTGCCCCATTCCCAGCCCTGCAAAGCTTTGACACGCTGCATCCCTGCTGAGTCCGTCCAAATGATTTAACTTCCTCCAAAAAGAAAGAAAAAAAAAAAAAAAGGGGGGGAGAGGGAAAAAAAAAAAAAAAAAAAATCATCTCGCTTAGGTTTGCGCTTGATGGATCAGCCCTGCAGACTCCCGATCCCACTCCATGCCACATTTTAGAAGATGTGATATGTCTGCCTCCATCCTCATCCTTCCCTGAGTCTCTATAATCCCAAATATAACCCGGCAGGGCCCAGAGCGGCGCGCAGCTCCCCGGCAGCAGCGTCCCAGCCCGTGGCCATCGCCCCGTGACCCGGGAGTGTCACCGAATGAGGAGCCGAAAGCCGGCGTGCGGGAGCACAGCCGGGCTCCCGGTCGCTCTGCCGCAGGAGCCGGGAGAGGAGGATGCACGCGTCTGAAAAGCAAGGTAAGAAAAAGCTCAGCTGCGATGGGAGAAGAGTGAGATGGTGCCCGATCAAATAGGGGGAATGTTGTTTATGGCAAATTTGTGCTGAGTAATCCCCGGGAAGGCACGCTCGGATCCTACAGCTGGGGATAAAGCGGAAAAAAAAAAAAAAAAAAATAAAAATCCTGCTTTAACGCCTTGTTATATAATAGTTTGGAGGGACGGTATTGCACTGAAAACTGCTTCCCTCGGCAGGGTTGCATGTATTGCTGTCTGATGGCAAGTTAAGGTGCTGAAATTCAGCAACGTATACCTGGGTATATAGCATTTAATAACATCGAGCTGCCTCCTGCTCTGGGTACCTCAGGAACTCCAGGCAGAATGTGAGCATCTCTTCTTGCACCCCCAAAATAGCTGTTTGTGCGTTTTAGGACTGTGAAAGCCATCTGGGCATATTACCTTCAGTGAAGAAATATTAAATGATTTTCAGGCTTAAAATAATGATTGTGGCTTATACCTGGACACAGCTATACTTCCTACAGGAAGGGCGATTGGGTGTATATGTGAGTATATAAATGCTGCTATGAAATATGGACATCCAGCCTTTTGCAGGGCATCCCCTGTGGAGCTGACCTTCAACACCACCACCATCCCCCCCCCCCCCGGGTATTTTATTATGCTGAGACAACCACAGAGCTGCATTCCCTTTAAAAACCCTACTTCAGGCCAGAAAAGAGAAAAAAAAAGGTATAGCTAAATGCATACATCATTGCCTTTGCTTTGGGAGGGGATGGCAGGGATGGGGTGGCTGGCAGGGCTGCCTGCTCCCCACGCCACCGCTGCTTCGGGTAAGTATTTATCCCCCTCGCCAGCACCTCGGGAGCACTGCGACTTTAAATCAGGACGTATTTAATGTCTTGCTGATGTATTTGTGGTTGTCGTTACTATAGTCTTATTTTGGATACTGCCAAGGAGAGAAGGAGGAGGAGGGCGAGGAATATTTTGGACAGGCCCCCCAGGTCTGCAAACTACCGACTTTATTCCCCCTTCTGCATTTGGACTAGGGCCTCCATCTTCTGATATCGCTTCAGCCGTGGATTCCTCTTAGTCATAGCCATCCCTGAGAAAAATCAAATCAAATCAAATCAGTGTCCCCAGTAATTCAGACGGCACAGGCAGCATGAAGGCAACCCGGGCTGCACTATATTTAGCCGGCCGTGACACAGCCGGCTTGTTTATGGTCCCAGCGACGCTCCCAGATGATAGATGCAGCATTTCGGAGCAGCCGCAGCCTTTAAGGAGGAACTGCATTTTTGTCCTTGAGCACCAGGTTTTTCCTGCGCGCCGCTGGCAGCGTAAGCGCCAACGTTTAATTGCTGACCCGACTAATCCGCCTCGCTGACGGCTTTGCCCTGCTGCAGATTAATCCCGGGGCCTCCCGCCGTGCCCGCTGCTTTGCGCGAGTCCTCGGAGCTGGATTTTGGGGCAGGATTTGCTAATACCCGTCCCGCTTCGCCGCGAAAATATGGGGGCGGCCCCCGGGGGGGGTGCACGTGGAAAAGGGAATCGCCCGGATCGTTGTGGTAGAGAGTTTGGTGCCCAGATGTGCCGCCCAGGTTTGGGGATCAAAACTGGGCTCACGGGCTCGGTGCTGACACCGCGGGGTCGTGTTTTACCACACACCCAGCTCTGCTGCAAAAATCAGATTATAGATGCTTTTTCAGGGGTGGATAGAGCAGCCGTGAATAGCTCTCAACATTAAAATGCTGTAAATACTACTTTTTAATTATTGATACTAAATTAGAAATAATATTTTATGAAATCTTATGGTAGTTTACATTACATGAGGCCCTGTTTTGATAGTCACTGTAACCAACATACTGTTTTCTTTCTCCTGAATAAATTCTTGTCTTCAGTAACCAGAAATAATGAGGATGGGAAACGGTATCATTTACACCCCCGAGTCATGGCTGGGAAGCATAGAGATGCAGAAATTGGGTGTGCAGAACAAAATCATGCAGGGAGACTGAGGCGAGGGCCAGGATTTTCTCCAAATCCTCTGAAATGGGGTTTTTGCCATGCAGGAAACTTAGGAAATCTACTCCCTTCACCAGACCATGCTTTAAAGCAAAAAAAAAAAAAAAAAAAATGACCCAAACACTCGAATCCCTTTTCCAAGTTATAGTTTTAGGGAAGAACTTTACGGAAAGAGCAATTTGCTTTTGCTCTGGGGTACGATGTCTGTGCGCGGGTCCCTGCCCCGGCGCGGGGGCACTTGCGGAGGCCCCGTGGGGTCAGACTCTCCGTCTCTGCACACATTTACTCCCAGCATTTGTTTTCCACCCCAACAGATTTTTGAAGGTATTTAAACCGAAGCACATCCACGCAAAACTCCCAGCCTGGGAGCCACTCCGCATAATTATTTTAAAGCCACGTGGTATAGACTAGCTCCTGCAGTATTACTTTCTGAGTTAACAGACGTGATGATAAATTCTTTCCTGCCCTAAATGGTATTGAAAACCCAAGCTGGGTCTGGGTGGAGCCGTGAATTTCCCCTGGTTCCATCCCCTGCCTCTCGCTCAGGGCTGTTTGCAGCATCCCACGGCGCGGAGCAGCTCTGAGTGATCCCTTACAGAAGCAGAGGAGGCATCGCCAGGAGAGGAAGGCTGCTTTGAACCCTTTCTGCTGAGTCAAGCACGCTTCAGCTGGATGTTCACGGAGCTTTTTTATTGCCTGGTCTCTTGAAGGCATCCCAGCAATGCGTTCCCAGACAAAGCGACCAAGCTGCGGGATCCGCAAGAGGCTGATTCAGTTAGTGTTGTGGGAAACAGCAAAGTGGGGTTTGTCACCTTTCACGGTGTAAATGGATCACCAGGAGAAGGCTGAGGGTGTTTGTACCCAGCCCTGCTCCCTGCCTTGCTT